CTTGACAAGATGGAGCCTGACACTCAAGGTCAAGCATCATCTCCCAAGGTGAGAGGAGGCACGGGTTAGACACAGCATCTATCCAGGTCCAGCTCTGTTGTCAATCAAGCACTGGGACCACACCCATCTGTAACAAGAGTGCCAAGCTTCTTCCCCGCAGTGAAATGCTACAGATTATTTTGGAATTCACATGGAGACCTAACAGTTCCAGGAACGGCAGCTCTAACAGTGCACATGGCAACTTTTCAGGCTGCTTCCAAGCAATGGCCAAATGTACATGGCAGGAACTTGCAATCTTCGAAAACAGTTAAACCAAGCCAAGTCTTCATTGTCATTAGCTGTTGTGTTAGCAGCCATATAGTGATGAGAACTAAAAGCACTGACAATTTGCCTCCAGAGGAGAATTCTCCTATACTTTTTGTTTCTAATAAACAGAAAAAGAGATGTCCTTATCGCTGCTTTCAGTGTGAATTTCCTCTTCGCAATCTTCTGGCAGACGTCAGTGTCTCTCTGCTTCCCTTAGCGTAACTGCAGAAACAGCAGGAAGCAGTGATTGCCACTGCAAAGGTTTCTGTTTGAATATTGGCAGATGTCAAAACATTCTCTTAGAAAGTCCTTTCCAAAGGCCCGGCTTAATTCCTCAGTCCCCTTTGCCCACATCAGTGTAGGACATGATAAAACTCAACTGACCAAACTTGCCATCTTGCTTTTGTTCATGAACACAAATCTAAGCAATAAATATCTCTGTGGGGATTTCCACAATCTCCACTCCAAGGCAAAGGAAGCTACAGAAGGCAGAAGGCAGGGAGAGACTCTTCAGGGGTACAGGAAAACATGTTTTCCACCTCTCTTCTCCCCACATCCTTCCTGTCTCAAGGCCCTCCTGCTTGATGTCTACCAGGCCTTGATCCGCTTGGATGCCGACAATAAGAGTTTACAATGCAGTGAGAAAAAAGAGGGAACACAGAAGCCCTCTTGGAAGCTGCCTGATTCCGTTAAATGTAAACAATTTGTCTGGTAGGTGATGTTAGGAAATCTGTGACCTTTGTCTTTCTGCTCCTATTTCCTGATTACCCACCCAGACCCTTCAGCACCAAGGCTCCAGCTCTAAAAGCAGACTGGCTTCTAAGAGGACCTGGCTCCATGAATTAATATCTGTGTGAATACAGGAGGTTAGTTAATCTCTCATTGCCTACATTTCCTACTCTGTAAAATGAGGATAATGAATAGTAACAAGTTATAGATGTGTTATGGGGATTAAATGAGATAATGGATACAAAGGAAATTGGCATGGGAGCATCTAGGAAGCTTCAATGTTAACTATTAGTAATGTGCCTTTTGGTACCCACCCTATCTCTCCACTCAATCAGAAAGGATCTATTAACCAGTACTTAGAGCAAGGCAGAAGCTCATTAACATGAAAGTGAAAAACAGTGATATTTCACGTTCAGCCTTTCATCTTTAATTGTTAAGTGAAAGGCTGTTTCCCCAGGTTGTATTTATTCAGTAAACATTGATTGAAAACATACAGTTTGTTGAGTACTATAAGGTATTCCCAGTACATAGAAGGTGCTCAGTAAATATTTGACAGACGAATGAATGAATGGATGAATGAATGAATGAATGATGACCCTCCCACAGATGCCCCTTTTGGATGCAATAGGCCACTGGGGACAGAGAAGCTTGTTCATCTCTACACACTCACCTCCCTCCAGCCCTGGGTTCTCTCCACTCCTGCCCAGAGCTGCCTGCCTGCAGAGCCACTGAGTTTAGACCTTCTCCTATTTCCTCAGTTGGCTTCTGACCAAGAAGCCCTGACAAAGAAGCAGTCATTAGAACACATCCTCTTTGTGTTATTGTAGACAGGGGTTATAAAGGATGTTCAAAGAGAAGGTATCTCACATGCCTGTGGAAAGTACCTTCACCCTTTACTCCAGTGAAGGGCTTATTCTTATTTTATCCTGTGTAACAGAGCCATCTCTCAAACTGTAAGTACTGAGTAAGAAACCATATTTCGTACAGGGCTGGCCTGGACCAAGCTTCAGGATGCGGCATGTGAACTTTGATGGACTCTGGGACTAGCTTAGCTCTGCCCACACCTCTATCTTACAGAGTAGACATATACTGTTTTTTTTTCCCACTAATATCTATTATGCCTGGTTTTGATGTCTTGGTCATGCCTCCTCCTCTGGAAGTGGAACTTGGGAGGGGCCCAAGTCCAGTCTCAGCAATGCAGCAAATGTCACACACCCGGACCATCAAGGCATTCAACCTACGAAAGCCACAGAGATGGGGGTGAGGGAAGGCACCTGCTCAGAATGAGTCCCAGGACTAGAACAACCGATCCTAGGAGAAAAAAATTCTCTTGTTTTACTTTTTTTTTTTTTTTTTTTTTTTTTTGAGACAGGGTTTTGCTCTGTGACTCAGGCTGGAGTATAGTGGTGCCATCTAGGCTCACTGCAACCTTCACCTCCCGAGTTCAAGCTATTCTTGTGCCTTGGCCTCCTGAGGAGCTGGGATTACAGGTCTGTGCCACCATGCCCAGCTGATTTTTGTATTTTTAATAGAAGCAGGGTTTCGCTGTGTTGGCCAGGCTGATCTTGAACTCCTGGCCTCAAGTGACCTGCCTACCTCAGCCTCCCAAAGTGCTAGGATTACAGTCTCTTGCTTTAATGTGAACTGGGGAAGAATGACCTTGGAGCTACTGAAAGGCCATAAGGCAGTGTCTGGGGACAAAGCAAACACAGGAAAGAGAAATTTGAGCCACTGGAAAAGACAGCCTTGAATTCATTTGAGCGCCTGAATCAACCCGTGCTTGAAGCCAGTGTCCTCTGATTTTTCAGCTCTATGAGTACATAAATTCCTTTATCTTCTACTTAATTTTTATTTATAACCAAAAGAGTCCTATGATAACAACAGAAATTGTCACAGTACCCAAAGTTTCATATTATTTATTCCTTTGCCTTAATGTGAAAAATCAAGCTACAAGATTGCAAATGCGTTATCAGCCATTGATCCAGGCGAGCTTGATAATTTGATAAGGATTACGGTCATTTACTCTGCAGTACCCACAGTCAAGCTGTAAGCACCCCACGGAAAGAACTCAAAACTGCGTGGAACAATGCAGCCAAGTCCACCGTGGAGTTCCACAGTCCATGCCTTTAAGTGATCTCGTTGGTTCTATGGGGAGCAATAACTCAGGCACTGGAAACTTCCTAAATGTACAGGTCTTGCTCTAAGTTACGAATGAGTAGGATTGTAGAGGCAGAAGAAAAAGGTAAAATATTTATTTTGTTTGCAAACCTTTTATTTCCAGTGACTTCCAGAGACAATGTGGACCACAGAAGAACCCAGGATTCCTCCTCAGTTTCAGTGATCTTTGCTGGATTGTGTATGAGTCACTTTTTCAATGTCTTTATCCAAAGTTGGCAATTAGGTAGAGTTTTACCACCCCATGAGCTGGAAAATTTTTGTTCAACCAATTAGTGATAATTATTGAGCACCTATCATGTACTAGATGCTGTCTAAGTTACTGGTCACTGGAGTTTCAAAGATGAATGAGCACATTTCCTTCACCCAAGGAGATTAGAGTCCAGTGAGTCACGCAGACAACACCCAACATAACTACATCGGGTACAAGTAAGGCCATGACAGAGATGAGCACACAGTGACGCCAAGCAATGGCAAGGACACCTGCCCCAGGCTACCAGATGGAAGCTGTGACTCAAGACAAGTGGAAGGGAGTTTTTGAGCAGACAAATAAGGACAAGGGGCTGCCGGAAGAGGAAATAGCACCAGCAAATAAGAAGTGGCATACAAAAAGTAAGGGCATTGACTGAGCTGAATTCACTTGGTAAACTCGGCCCTGGTGTGATGGTGAGAAGAGTGAAAAGAAGCAAACACGTCAACATAAAGGGCTTCTTCTGCCAAGGTAAGGACAGCGTTTGACTGGTGGAAGTCTTCAGTGGCTCCACATTTGAGACAGAATAAAATCTAGAACTCTGGCATCCTTGAAAGATATTATTTTTGCCTCGTCACATCCTAGTAGCAAAGAGAACAAAATGTGTGAAGAATGCAAAATCTGAAGATGGTGTTTTTTGTCCAAATAAGCTACATCTTGTTCCTTATCTCCGCTGTCCTGGTACCCTGGGTCCGAGAGAGAGGAGGGAGTCCCGCACTGCACCCCACCTCCCAGCCACCATAGGCAGATGAAAATCATTTTTCATCTGCTATGCAGTCATTTTCAAAGTGCCTGCTTTTCACTGGAAAAGTAACACGATAGTCCCTCTGGGGGATGCTCACGAAGCCAAAGCGAAACCGTCTTTTCCTTCTGACTGCCACCGCTGCATTTTCTTTCCCTGGCTCTCTCCTTCTTGCAGCTGAGTCTTTTGTCTTTTGTTCAAAAAACTGCACCTCAATCTCAGACTCCACAGTGTTATTTCGCGTTGCTTTGTTTGTTTGTTTGTTTTGATATGCATCTTTTCATAAACCGGGTCGGGTTCAAAAGGCACCCGGCTCTTTTCCCACATCAGTGTCTGGGTCAAATGTGCCCCAGGTGTGGCTCCGTCAACATTCCGTTTACACGTGGTTCTCATTACAGGATCCCCAAGGGCTGTGAAAACATTTGCTTGAGCCTCCTCCAAACAGCCACAACTAGGAATTGGCAAACACCCATTGAAAAGCACTATTTTCAATGTATTATGAGCAGTCCCCCACCCTGATTCGTACTCAGCTCCACACATCCTCACTGCCTGCGTGTCCGGGACCCCACGTCACGTCTTAACTCATTATGTTTTTTGGGCCCCTGGTATTCCCTTGGCCGTGTCCTGTACGTTCAGATCGCAGGCACAGGAGCGCTGGCAGCAGAAGGGACCCTTTGGGCAGGAGGACCCATCAGCCCTCCAAGGCCACATCATCATTCCATTCGCTGGCTCATGCGTCAACCTGTGTGACTTCGATATGCTTTTTTCGCCTTTTAAAAATACCGTTCAACTTTTCCTGTGACCTTTTAAGGTAGACCCTGTTTTTTAAGAGGCTAACACAGAATGGTAAAGTAAGTCTCCATAAAACCCAGAGAAGAGACTGTGAAACTCCCCTTTGGACGCCGTATGAAGTCATAGCAAAAAAAAAAAAAAAAAAAAAAAAAAAGTTTTACTTGCTAATCCTTTAACTAAAAGCAGTTCATAGAAGAGAATTGACAAGCTCAGTAAGGGAGAGAGAAGTAGCTTGTACAAAGACTGTGCCTCAGTTTCCCCATTTGTAAAATTAAGGATTAGACGTGATAATCCCTCACCTATCTCCATCAATGAAATATGATGATTCTGTTTTATGGAATCAGGTCATTTTTTAAATGAAATAAAATTGTGAATTTAAATTTATTAGTAATAATATTCTGTTTTTTCATGAAGCAGAGAATGAGAAACCAGAATCTCTCATTTGTCATCAACAAAAATAAATCACCTTTAGAGTGCAGATGAAGGGCAAAAGCTTTAGTCATGTATAATACATGAAATAGGGATTAAGGTGATGTATATTTGGGGGTACCTTTTTAAAGAATTGAGCATGAAAAGTATTCTCACAAAAGGCAAATGTGTGCTACCTGGTACAGTCACCCCCTTTTCTGATTCCAGAGGTCTGAAAGCAGCGTCAGCAGCAAGCCACAGCAGATGGGAAATGTGGACGAGCAATGGCTTTCCCAGTGACCAAAGGCCTGGACAAGCTACCTCAGGCTCCACACCAACTCCAGAGATGCCTGGCGTGGGGAAGGTCATTGGTAACAGAAGCAGCTCTCAGCCTCTTTCTCCAGTCAAACTCCTCTGCAGAAACAGAAAGGAGAATGAAATGGGTTCAGTGCAGATCCCAGTTACATGGGCTTGTATCAGAGCTGGGTTCTTTGAACTGACAAATGAAAATGTATACAAATGTATGGTGTAAAACCAATATGTGGCTGGTCGTGGTGGCTCAATGCCTGTAATGCCAGCACTTCAGGAGGCCAAGGCAGGCCGATCGGTTGCGCTTGAGAGTTGGAGAAACATGGGCTGAGCAACATGGCAAAACTCTGCCTCAAAAAAAAAAAAAAAATTATCCAGGAGTGGTAGTGCACACCCGTAGTCCCAGCTACTGGGGAGGTTGAGGTGGGAGGACCGCCTGAGCCCGGGAGGTCTAGGCTTCAATGAGCTGTGATCACACCACTGCACTCTAGCCTAGGAAACAGTGAGCCCCTGTCTCAAAAAACAGGATTTTTTCGCATATGTGTGCATCCTGGAATGATTAAGTGAAGCTAATTGATATATCTATCACCTCTAGCACTATTTTCTAACCACTATCATTTTTTTTTAGTGGCAGGAACATTCTCCTAGCTGTTTTCAGGTGTACAGTGCATCATTATTGACTATAATCACCATGTTGTTCAATAGATCTCAAGAGCTTATTCCTGTTAACTGAAACTTTGTACATTGTAACCAATATCTCCCCATTCCCCACACACAACTGTCAGCCCTGAATAACTACAATTCTTCTCTCTGCTTCTATGTATTTAATTTGTTTAGATTTCACATAAGTAAGATCATGTGGTATTTGTCTTTCTGTGCTTGGCTTATTTCACTTAGCACAATGTCCTTCAGGTTCAACCATGTCATTGCAAATGACAGGATTTTCTTCTTTTATGGCTGAATAGTATTCCATTGTGTATACTTATGGTGTTTTCTTTATTCAGTCATCCAGTGGGGTATGCTTAGGTTGACTCCTTATCCTACCTACAGTGAATAATACTGCAATGAACATAAGAGCGGAGGTATCTCTTTTAAATCCTGATTACATCAGAACCGCGATGAGAGAACATCTCACACCAGTCAGAATGGCGATTATTAAAAAGTCAATGAACAATAAATGCTAGCAAGGCCATGGAGAAATAGGAGTGCTTTTACACTGTTGATGGGAATGCAAATTAGTTCAACCATTATGGAAGACAGTGTGGCAATTCCTCAAAGACCTAGAACCAGAAACACCATTTGACCCAGCAATCCCATTACTGGGTATATACACCCAAAAATATAAATCATTCTATTATAAAGATACATACAGGCTGGACACATTGGCTCACATCTGTATTCTCAGCACTCTGGGAGGCCGAGGTGGGTGGATCACCTGAGGTCAGGAGTTCGAGACCAGACTGACCAACACGGAGAAACCACGTCTCCACTAAAAGTACAAAGTTAGCCTGGTGTGGTGACTCATTAATCCCAGCTACTCGAGAGGCTGAGGCAGAAGAATCACTTGAACCTGGGAGGCGGAGATTGCAGTAAGCTGAGATCATGCCATTGCACTCCAGCCTGGGCAACAAGAGTAAATTTTGTCTCAAAATATATATATATATATATAAATATACATACACACGTATGTTCACTGCAACACTATTCACAATAGCAAAGACATGGAATCAACCCAAATGCCCATCAATGATAGATTGGATAAAGAAAATGTGATACATAAACACCATGGAATACTGTGCAGCCATAAAACAGAATGAGATCATGTCCTTTGCAGGGACAAGGATGGAGCTGGTGTTTGGTTTTCTGTTCCTGCATTAGTTTGCATTATCCTCAGCAAACTAACGCAGGAACAGAAAACCAAACACCACATGTTCTTGCTTATAAGTGGGAGCTGAACAATGGGAACACATGGGCACAGGGTGGGGAACAATGCACACTGGAGCCTGTTGGGGGTGGGGTCGGGGGAGGGAGAGCATTAGGAAAAACAGCTTATGCATGCTGGGCTTAAAACCTAGGTGATGGGTTGACAGTTGCAACCAACCACCATGGCACACATTTACCTATGTAACAAACCTGCACATCCTGCACATGTACCCCAGAACTTAAATAACAAAACATAACATAAATAAAAAAAAAAACATTAAATTAAATTACTCTTTATCCTAGAACAAACAGATAAATACTATAAATAAATGATTTTCTATTTCATATGAAAAACAAATCCTGATTTCATTTCCTTTGGAGTAGACAAGTTTAATCTTGGCCTTTGAGGAGGGCTGATTTTGCAGAGGAGACGGGAGAAGATGATTCAGAGATAAAAGAATTCAGATTGGTTGGTTGTACTAAGGTTCTGAAAAAGCAACTCTGAGGCCCAGGATGCTACTCAGGGGCTGAATGGATGGGGCAATGGGTCTAGAATTCAAGGAATCTAGGCATGGTTTTAGGGTCCTGGTCCCAGCAAGAAACTGGATTGCCAGCTGTGAAACCCATCCTCCTCTCCACAGGCAGGTGGGCAGGGCCTGCTGAATAGAAGCTTCTGGTGCGGGATGGGCTCCAGAACCTGATGATGGTATTAGTCCTTCAGGCTGAGAGGAACAGAGGAAGAAAAGTCTGCCTCCTTGCGATCCCCTCTCTCTGCCAGTTCCTACTCCATTCTTTTCAGGACTCTTGGCTGTCTAGCTCGTCTGCTGCCCTGCTCCCACGTGGGAACCTGGGATCTCACTTAGCCTGAGCTTGCCCCTCGCCTGTCCCGACCATGGCACATTACACACCCTCAGGAAGGCTGCCGCGTCCTTTTTGACCCCTGAGATCCAGTCCTGCCTCCAGCGCCCAGCCACCATCCTACAGAAACTATGTGATCCATACAGCATGGGGACCTGCTGACAAAATACCGACTTAAGATGCACGATCTTCTTTTAGACATTTTTGAACATGTTTGACATCACCAATGGAGAATTTAAAGGTGATTTCCATAACCTATGTCCAAATGAGTGCAGTGACAAGCCATCCAATATCTGGCGCTTCTGGGAAGCCTTAGACTTCCACAAGTGGGGTACATTGACTGGGTACAAGGCAGTCTTTCATGATCCACACCCACACTGAGTCCTGACAAATAGACTTTCAAGTCCTTAGACCCCTGACTCCAAATTCTAATATCACACTAGCTCTTCCTGCTCCTGGGTTTCATGTCCTTTAGAGAATCTGTATCTGTTCTCTCCATTCAGCTCAGATATGAAAGCATTAAAGGCCAAGAATTTTCCAGGCCACATCCATATTCTGAGGCTCTACATTCACTAAAAAAAGAAAAAAAAAGAAAAAAAAAAAAAGAAATACTAAAATGGAGTTAAAATTGAGGTTGAAATACTTGCATCAAACAAGTTAATTTTTTTTTTTTTTTTGAGATGGAGTCTCCCTCTGTTTCCCAGGCTGGAGTCTAGCTCAGCTCGCTGCAACCTCTACCTCCCAGGTTCAAGCAATTCTCTTGTCTCAGCCTTCTGAGTAGCTGGGATTACAGGCACCTGACACCACACCAGCTAATTTCTGTATTTTTAGTAAAGATGGGGTTTCACCATATTGGTCAGGCTGGTCTTGAACTCCTGACCTCAGGTGATCCTCCTTCCTTGGCCTTCCAAATTGCTGGGATTACAGGCATGAGCCACCACACCCAGCCACAAGTTGATATTTTAATGCAAAAAAGTATGATGCAATATAACTGTGTCACTTGCCACATGGAAAATTAGTTTAAAACATTAGGCCAGGTGCGGTGGCTCACACCTGTAATCCCAGCACTTTGGGAGGCCAAGTTGGGTGGATCACGAGGTCAGGAGTTCCAGACCAGCCTCGCCAACATGGAGAAACCCCATCTCTACTAAAAATACAAAAATTAGCCAGGCGTGGTGGCACTTGCCTGTAATCCCAGCTACTCAGGAGGCCGAGGCAGGAGAATTGCTTGAACCCGGGAGGTAGAGGTTGCACTGAGCCAAGATCTTGCCATTGCACTCCAGCCTGGGTGACAGAGTGAGACTCCATCTCAAAGAAACAAACAAAAAAAACACAACACATTGATTTGTAGATGTATGATCTGGAAGGAGATACATGTTTTAAATTGTATAACAGATATTATTATCTTTCAGTCATTTAGAATAATAATTTCATTTGGATATGAACCCAAGGGCTCCATTTGTGAAGGCTGTGGTTGGAGTCACCCCTGATCCCCACCAAGGCTGGATTTTGCATCTTATCAGCTTATCTCTTCAAATGCAAACCCCTCCCTCAACTTTTCAAATTACCCCTGTGAGGTTGGAGACATAATCCAGTCCCAATGACTGACACCAGCAGAAGTAGCTGGGGG